GCCGGTGTGTGTGTGTGTGTGTGTGTGTGTGTGTGTGTGTGTGTGGAGCTGGGCTCCCGGGGGCTTTCCGTGTCTGGTTCCTCAGAAGTAGATCTCCAGGCCTTTCTTCCTAGATGCCTCTGGGTGGACTCAGACCCCTAACCTTGTGGTTAGCAAACAAGCATGTTCGTTGTTGGCACCGCCCAGGCCTCTGAGAGCTAGGTCCGGGAGACGCCGCATGACCATGGGCTCTTGGCTCCTCTGAGCCTCTGTCCATCTGCAGGCCTTGGCCTTGGCTACCCATTAGTGAACGCTTTGGCCTGGAGGGCTTTCCCAGGAAGTGAAGTGCCTGCGGGCCAGGCTGGCCCCTGCTCGTATCAGATGTTAGCTCCCAAGGAGTCCAGCCTCCCCTCTGACCACTCAGGACACCGTGAGGAGCTGTTCCAGCGGTCAGCAGACCCAGGAAACTCTGGAACAGAGGGAACGCATCCTTTGGGTCTCTCTCCTCCAAGCTTGAAGCCCTTTTGCAGACACACGGCAGAGGGCTGGGAGAGGGGACCCTCAGTCCATGGTGAAGGCTGTTCGGAGGCCTCTCTGAGGACCGGGTGTCACCCTCCATCCAGCTCCATCAAGGGAGCTGCCGAGAAACCTTTGAAAACAGCCTAGATAAATACGAGTTTGCCAAGAGCCTCTCAGTCATCTCGCCAGGAAGACCCCAGCCTGCATTTCCGGTCGTGACCCCAAGGGAGCAAGATCGTCCCCATCTCATACCCAGCACTATGCCCCCTCCTCACGCTCCTCAAAGGAGCCCTGGGAGGCTCAACTCAAGTGCCGCCCTACATGCCTAGTAGCACCTTCCAGAACATCCCACTAACAGTTCCCCTTGTCCATCGTCCACCCAGGATAGGCCATGGGCCTTCAGTTTCGCTCAGCACGCATGAGGGCCTGGGGCGGCAGGCCCTGTATCAGGGTCCAGGGTCAGAGAGGGAACAGCTGCCCACAGACGCCCAGAGCCTGGACAGATAAACAGACAAAAACAAGGCAGGGCGTGATGGGGAAGCACAGCAACTGGGTGCACAGAGCAGAAGTCGGGGGGTCGGGGGGATGTGGGAGCATCTCTGAAGGAAGTGACCCCAGCTGCACAGTCCCACACAGGAAATGGTTGCTGAATAAGTGGAAGTTGGAGTTGGCTTGATCTCAGACATACTTTGGGGCCCTAAAGCGCTAAGAACATAGCACTGGGTGTCTGGGCCTACCTCCCTTCACCTTGTGAGCAGCTGCCTTTCCACTTATTTGATAAGCCCTTCTGCATGCCACAGTGGGGGCCAGCCTCGGTGCTTGTGGGAGGAAGCTGGTGTGTGACTTGGAGAAGGAAGGTGTGGGGAGCACTGATGGGAACCATCGCTCCACTGCCCTCTCCACTGCCCTCTCCCTGGCCTGCTGCCCTCCTGCTGACCATCTCTCTTCCTCCCTCTCGTCCCCAGCATACTCCCCCAGGCTGCCCTGGAGGAGATCCACAGATTCTCAGGAACATACACCTGCATGAACACATTTAAAGGACGAACATAGGTGCAGGATGCAGCAAGCACTGGAAGAGCCATGGACCCGAGGGGCCACTGCACCCACCGCAGGTTTGTCAGCACAGCACGTTTCTGCTGGGTGGCCAGGACTGCGCCTGCCCAGAAGGAGGACCCGGCCGTCTCCCAGGCCTGCCCCAGGACCTTTGCACAGGTGTCTCTCTGGCCCTGGTGGGGAGGCAGCCAAGCAGCCAGCCGCCACCTGGATGCCTTTGTACATGTCCAGTTCGGTAGAGTGTATTGTCCAGTCGCTTCTGCAGCCTAACCAGCCTCGGCAGTGTGCACAGACTTTTTCTGGGAGGAGCTGTCCCCGGAGGGCCCTCCTACACCCCCGCCATCCACTCATGTTCGGCTTCCACGGGCTGGCTGAGCAGCAGGAATGGAAAATAAAGAGCGTTGGGTTTGTGAGTTTCTTCTTCAAAACCCTGAGCTTCGCGGGCACTGGGAGGATGCCAATTCCAACCACAAAGCCCCGTCCCATGAGAGAGGATTGGCCTAACCAGAGTGCCAGGAGCAGAAAGGAAGGAGAGGGAGGGAGGGGGCAGAGGTCAGGAGAGACACTGGCACTTGGGGATGGTAGGAGGCTCCTGACTCGTCGTCCCTGGCTCTGCCGAGCCCCTCCCAGCAGTCATGGGGTGGCCATCCTCATCCTGTTTCCCTGCTATGACCATCACGAACGAGTCTGCCCGCCCTCAGCCCCGCCAGCCACCCCACCAGTCTTTACTGAGCGCCCATCCCACTTTTAGCTATCAGTGGTCCCACCAGACAGCTATTCGTACAACTGCTAGCTTTAAAGCTAGCGGTTCAAACGCACCCAGCCCCTCTGTGGGAGCAGCCCCTGTGATCGGCTCTGGTGCAATGACAGCCCAGAAGCCCCCACGGGGCAGTGCGACCCTGTCGTGCGGCGTGGCCGAGAGGTGAAATCCACTCGCTGGCCTCTCGCAACCACGCTGCTCACTCAGCAGGGTGACAGAGGAGGACCTGCTGAGAAGCCGAGACCCAGAGATCACCAGGACAGCAAGATGCCCGTCATCTGGTCGAAAGATCTCTTGATGAGACTGTGCTAAAGGGGCGCCACGGGCCCTACCATCAGATTGTATTGCAGGGGAGCGTCTTACGCTAGGCAAAGAGCGGGAGGTCGGGAGTGGCAGAAGATACTGGCATGGGTTCAATACTTGGGGAAAATTCTACCCGAAATCACGGCAGAGAGCTCCCAATGGCCTTCAGGTGTGGATTCTCCCCTGTTACACTATGCTGAATAAACCTACCATTGTGGATGGCGGGGAGGTGGGCAGTGCAATCTCATCTAAGTAGCCCCCGCCCATGTAGCTATGGCAGGTAAGTGGGAGGGACAGAGGTAGTCTTGGGAGATGAAGGTCACAAATGTCGATGTGCTTGGCTCGTTCCACCTGAATGGTGTCAGAAGCCTTTCGCTTCCACACAGCTCACGCACGCCGAGCCCTCCCCCACTGGTCTTCAAGGAGAAGGAACCCCTTGGCTTAGGTTTGGGTAGCCATCATTCTGACCTGGGTGCAGAAAACGCCCAGTCAAGAATGTTCAATGGACTCTAGTCACTGTGTACTGGGCACCCACAGAGCTGCTTGAGAAGACAGTAGTCTAATGAAATGTGCAAAGACCCAGAGTTGGTCAACCGAGAGGAAAGAAGACGCTTGGCATTGCTCAAGCCAGTAGCTCTGAGGGGGAAACACATCAAGCTTGGAGGAGATATATTGAAGGATTTTATGAGCAAATTCGTGAATGATGCAGAAAGTATCAAAAAGATGGAATGCTTCCCCACCCCCAGCCAGTCCTGGGGCTTTGGGGCTCGCCTCAAGGGGAGTCCCTCTGGGACATGGGGGTGCAGTGGATGGTATGACCCTTTGCTGGGCATGCCGACAGAATAGGGTATACTGGGCCCCTCTAAGGTTTCCCATATGGGCTCCAATAAATGTCTTACCTTTGGTTTAAAAAAAATAGAGGAAAAAATGATGAAATGAATACATGATCACTGTACCAAAAAGAATTGGTAAGCATTCAACCATTTCAGGAGGCAGCGTGCTTTTTAAAAAAAAAATTCTTTTAAATGGTATTGAAGGAAGCAGTTCAAGCCCTGAAGGCACTGGTGGAAAACCACTTGAGATATTCCAACAAAGAGGCAGTGTTGTAAGTACTTGCTGGTTCACGCCAAGACATTTGGAAAACAGCTTCCTTGGCCAACTGACTGGAAGAGATCCATACTTAGGCCCATTCCAAAGAAAGATGATCTAACAAAATGCAGAGATGATTGAAAGCTATCATTAATCTCACATGCAAGCAAAATCTTGCTGAAGATCATTTATAAAAAGTGGTTGCTGCAGGACACCGACAGGGAGCTGCCAGAATTCCAACCAGATTCCGAAGGGGCCCTGGGATGAGGATAGCACTGCGAACGTCAGCTGGAGCTTGGCTGAAGGCACAGAATGCCAGAAGATGTTTGCCTGTATGGATTATAATGAATTATGGATATCATTTTAGAGAAAGAGAATTCCGTAACACCACCTCATGCTCATGCAGAATCTGTCTATAGACCAAAAGTCAGCCATTCGAACAACACACAGGCATGCTGCGTGGATTAAAATCGGGAAGGGTTGTATTCTTTGACCATGCTTATTCAGGTGCACGCGGGGCAAACAATCAGAGACCTGGACAGTATAAAGAGGAACAGCATCAAGGTTGAAAGCGGACTCACTAAAAACCTGCAATATGCAGGGAGCATTAACCTTGCTTGCTGGAAGCCGAGAGGACCTGAAGCACACTGATCATCAAAGACCACAGCCTTGAGGATGGTTTATATCTCAACAAAAACAAAAACCCTCACAACTGGACCAATAAGCATCATGATGTTAAACACAGAATACAAGGGGGTACCCCCCCAAAAAAACGATGCTCATCTGTTTCATTGATGTGAAGGGGATATTACCTTTGGAGTTTGTTCCACCAGGTCAGACTGTTAATCAAGCTTTCTATTTAGAGGTTCTGAAACGATTGCATAGCAGTGTGCGGCAAAAAAGGCCTGATTTGTGGCAGATGGGGGGCTGGTTTTGCCACCACCAACAATGCACCTGTTCATGCAGCCATCTCAGTGTGCCAGCTTTTGGCAGAAAAAAACAGCATGCCTCTCTTGCCCCACGCACCTTACCTGACCTCCCTTTGTGGGACAATGTTTTGCTTCCGGAATGAGAAGGGACATGAAAGGACAGTGATTTGACAACATAGAAGAGGTGACAGAAAAAATTAACGAGGTGCTGTTAACCAACCAAACAGATGAGTTTGAAAATTGTTTCCAAGAATGGAATCGCAGATTTGACAAATTTATTGCATGTAATGGAGAGTACTTTGAAGGTGATAAGGTTGTTTTGTAAAACCTTTGGGGGGAAATTACATTTGGGGGAGGTACTCCTTCGTATATTGAAATTGTCATAGGTTTGATTTTACTTGGATCGGCAGTCAACACCAACAGAAGCAGCAGTTCATAAATAAAATATTGCATTGAGC